ATATTTTTCGCTTCATACTCATCTTTTGAAGCACATTATTGTTTATTTCACAAGGAAAAATAGGAAGACTTGTATTTGTATTGTAGTCGTGGCCGAGTGGTTAAGGCGATGGACTAGAAATCCATTGGGGTCTCCCCGCGCAGGTTCGAATCCTGCCGACTACGATGCAAGATTCCTTTTTTGAAAGAAGTGGACATATCGCAGATGAAGGCATCCGAATTAATGACCATATCAGTAGAGACCAGGAAGTTACGTATAATTCACAGCATTTTTTTAGTTCGCCGGTGTACTACGTACAGCGTATTTAAATAGAGGTTGCACGGCACGTAACGTTACGGCGTGGTTTGTGAGAAAAGAGCACCTCCACGTGGTATGAAAAAAGCTGGTCAGATCGATTGCTGAAACACCAATTTACTGGGTCAGCTTCCGAATCACCTGTACAATATTATGTCCTCTTGGACCATGGTTATAAATAACTGACCATAATTTGGCAACAGATGTTGCATGTACCTGACGTTTAACTCATAAAGAAATATTTAATCAGCCATTCACAAATCTAGTCCGTGCACTGCCGCCAGAAATGTTTAATCGGGGTATTTCAAATAAAAAAAAACAAATGGAATCAGTCACACTTTCCAGAAAATATGTTAGAGCTCCACTCTTCCATTGATATAAAGCAGGATTTCCACCCCAGTATAATGATTATACACATACATAGAGTTAAATGACACTTTGGTCTGTAAATCATATTTAAGAAAATCAGTATTACGCATTTGGTAGTAGGAATTAATAATTAAAGTTTATGGATAAGTGAACCATAACCTACACAGACTTTAAAAATTCATCCAGGGAAATATTGAAATTATTATAACATCATTTAAATACACCTACTGCTGTTACAACATAACAGAAACAGCACCACCTTAGTCTGGTGGGAGTGTTTGTGACATATACAAATAAACAAAACACAAAATAGATGACATACCTACTCTGAAATCATGATAGCCAGACATGTGGTGCACAAATGCTTTTAATAAAATATTGTAAACTACTTAGAGACCATTTTCATTTGTAATACAACAAGCTGGAACGAGCTTTCCCACACTTGGGAACATAAGATTAGCAAACTTAAGATGCTCCTTTACGTTGCCCTGCACACATTCATTATGTTGACTTTCTATAGAAACAAAGATAAACAAACCCTTTGTTACTCCACACACTGCACTTTTTAAAACTGAAGCGCTCCAAAACTAATTCACAAATGTCACACTTTTGTATGTACATATACAAAAGATAAAAAGGAAAGGCTTGGAAACATAAAGCTGAATAAAATGGCATTAAAAAAAAAAAATTAAATTTTTTTAAAGTTAAAAGCGTAAGTGTATGGAGCATCCAAGGCTGAGGGAACACGACCTTTTAGCAATAAAGAGAATGTCCATTTATGCACAATTTCAGCATTGTACATACTTTACAATAAGTTCTGCAGGAAACAATTCGCTTATATAAATCCGCATTAAAACATGGGCAAACTCCTGTACTGTTCCGTAGAAGATGCAACAGAATTCTAAAACGCAGTTTTTTGTGTGTTTACGGTGAGGAACAACAGTAAGAGTTAATAAAATGAATTTGTTCTCTAAAACAGCTCGATGATCTCAATTGAATACAGGCCGACGTCCTCAGACTGCTTCAGTTTGTGAATGTTTTGAAGGCTTCCCTGGATCTTCCCAAGTTCAGAGATTAATCTCACCTAAAATGGAAAACAATTTACCGTAAGTGGAATTTTAAGCATGACAGGTTTCAGTGGTGAGGACAGTTCTTCGAATAGACAGTTTTACCTGGGATCTAACAAACTTGTTGAGATGTGAAAGCATGTCTTTGGCTTCAGGAACCATCACCAACACAGTGAAATGAGCATCAAGCACCAAGCAAACCCAGTCTATGATCTACAAGAAGAAGTGAGGGGCAAGAAATTAAAATTTAAATTCATCTGACAATTTAATAATTTTCACACAGTGGAGTAATAATTATTAATATCATAACTTAAGACCAAAACATTCAAATTCTTCAGATGAGTATAGAGAATGAATTTAAGTGCAAAACTTGAACTTTGAACATACAGGTCATGTAGGTATATTCTCAATTTCATCTTAGCTCATTTTAGCCCACTCAGTAAAAGAATGGCATTACTTGTGCTACACAACACATTGACAACCATAAGTACTGCAAACAGAAAATCACTCCCGTATGGAGAAGTGGACGGCAAATTACGAACCTGTACTGTAGTTGGTGATCTCAAACCAGACGTGCGTACATTGAAATCTTGCGAAAACTTCAAATACAGGAACCAGAGATACCGAAGAAACAGCTGCAGATTGAGAACAGAGCAGAGAGAATCGTCAGCATGTGACGCACACAGAGCTGGACATCTGGTGGCAGTGAAGATGCAGGCACTCACCAAGACCTGCTGGACCGAGAGGTCCTTCAGATGCGGGAGCAGAAAGCTCTCCGTGTGGGCCGTCTGTAGGATTTCATTACTGCAGGTCCAGTTAAAGAGGAGATCTCTGCCAGAAAATGGAGCTCGTCCTCCTTATTACTGATATTACTTTATTACAGACTTCATGCACCGTATCTTTACACGTCTAGATGGAAAGCTAAAATATTTGCTACATCAGTAAAGGATACAGTAATACAGCCTTTTTTAACCCAACTGGGCAAGAGACGTCCAGGTCGAGCAATCCTGCTCTGCCTCGCGACTTGGACGGAGGGATCCGAGCCTCATAGCCGTCATCCTCCAGCAGCACAGGACTGAAGCCATTCTCCAGGTTGCCGTCCTTCCTCCACCCTACGCTAATATCCTCCATGAGGGACATGCTGTCTGGTTCTATGTCCACTGCCTCCAGGTCGCCGTCGGAGACGCTGTGAGCCAGGGGGGCACGAAAGGTAATGGAGGGAGGGGCAGTCCAAGCAATACCTGGACGTGCATTTCAGCAGCACCCTTGACTACATAGTCAACTTGTGCTGTACAAGAGTGAAGTGTCTATACTATAGAATTTCCCCTGGGGTTCAATAAAGGCAGGCAGGCAGGCAGGCAAGCAGGCAGGCCGCCCACCCATCCATCCATCCATCCATCCATCCATCCATCCATCCATCCATAAGCCAGCAACTCAAAATATTGATCTAGTTGGCTGCCCCCCCTCCAGTGTTTCTATCATTTCAACACCACAGGACTGACCATAATAACCATTTGGCACTCACTCGATAAAGGCCTTAAGGCAGGCGCAGGTCACCTCCTCTGGGATGTCTGGGAAGTGCTGCAAACAGAGCTGAACGAGAGAGTAGTCCTTCTTCTCCAGGACAAGCGGTAGAAGACCAGGGCAGACACTGCAATGACATCACCACAGACAGGTCAAAGGCGGCTTTCAGCAGCACCGGACTGTCCTCCAACACTCTAAGCATTTAAACTCCTATTTCTGGACACTTGCTGCCTGAACATAGCAAACCGTTCCAAGATTACGGCACATTAACATACAAATCTATACAAATAAAAATAATTCAATTTCTGTTCAACTATACTTATGACCAAACAATTCATTATATGGCATTATTACACATTACACTTCTGGTAAAGTGTCTTTTGTTGTAACTTTTGTCTATTTAATGTGTGTCTAGATGTATGTATTTGCTGCTGTAATGCTTGCAGTTCCCTTCGAGATCAAGCGCCAGGGATCATGTCTCAATAAGCTAAATGAAGGTGAAGCCATGCTGCATGAAGATGAATATCAGCGCCACACATTTCCCTGGATCCCAAAGACCGGCCAAACAAACATCTGCCTTCCTGCCTTCTAGCACAGACTGGAAACTGAATTTGGTATTGAAGACAGAAGCTGATGAGCGATTACATGAACCCAGCGCCCCCCCCTCCCCCCGCACCTGTGACAGAGGCAGCGTGTGTGCACCAGTCGGGCCAGGGAGTTGCGGGTGTAGAAGGACGGGTCAGACAGGCAGCGGGTCACCAGCTGAGAGGCCACCTGGCCCACGGCGAGCTGCAGGTCCGGGCCGGCGGCTCCCATGAGAAAGCTCTCCACCTCCCTCTCGACGTCCTCGCCCAGAGCCGTCTGATCATGGGACGGAGGAACAGGGTAAACCGCGTGCTAGCGTGCCGCTACATGCTAACTGTCATGGAGGGCAAGGGGCGGGGGTCTTTTCACACAGGCTGGATGGAGAATGAGGTGCCGTAATACCTTAATGTCTTCTAGCACTTGGTCGACTGTGATGGAGGCCGCTTGACTCTTCCGAAGTTTCTATAGAGAGAGAAAGTTGTTTCAGAGCAACAACAAACAGGAATGCGCTGCTTCGAGGCTGAACCACTAAAGGCACTAATGAGAGTACACATCTCCTGGCACCACATCTCCCACTCCAATTCCTTACACTCCTCCTCGTATCTATGCCTCTGGTGCTTCTCTGTGGCTGGGCAGCAGCTTCGTGCAGCAGGGAGTTCCATGACCGGACAGGAGGGGGCGGACACGAGCCTGTACGGAAATACCGGCGGAGTCAGGACCGGGTTCCACCCCTTTTGGAAGGTGGATCGAGCCGGCAGGTCGAGCGTCTCACCCTCCCCGTGGCCCTGCTTCAACCTCCCCAGCGCCGCTGCCAGGGAGGACTGCTGGCAGTCATAGGGTACGGCGGTGAGAACCCTCCCGTGGGGAACGTACAGCTTCCCGGAAAAACACCAGAGCTGAGGAAGAGAAGGACCAGCAAAGACTGTTCAGTGACTGAGAGGGAGGGCATACGGTAATACTCCGGTAATACTCCGGTAATACTCCGGTAATACTCCGGTAATACTCCGGTAATACTCAGTTCCCAGTGTACAGACTGCTGACCTGCCCATAAGGCTGCCCCAGCAGCTCTCTGGATGCCTGCAGCGTCTGAAAATGCGTGTTCCAAATGCACAGGAACTCTGTCGGAGGAAAGGGAAGGCTGTTAACGGCACAGTTTGGGACACACGAAAGGCGATTAAAAACATCACAACAGACTTAAAACCCTACGGCTACTCTGGGGGACAAAGCTAGAAACGATATCACGTAATAATATGTCACCTATAAAATGATAAAGTCAGAGAAACGCAGCTACACATCACCAGAACCATCTTTATATCAGGCTACAGTATTTTTAATTGCTATTTTTTTTTGTCCTGAAACCTTCACGGCCTGGTTGAAGGAACCGCGTTCACGCAGCCAATATTTGGGATTCCGACAGACCTTTGCGGGTGCCCTCAGAGGGGTGCGGGACCCCCACCACAGCCACATTGGCCTCGTCCAATGAGAGCGCGGCCGCCACAGACAGATGCCCATCGCCAACGGGCAGCTTCAGCAGCAGGGTCCTGGGCAGGGGCTGCACCCCCTCCGCAGGACCCCCAGACACCGGCACTTCGCTCTGGTACAGACAGCCTCTCGAACCTGTGCGGGGAACAATTACACAGACAAACAATATGGCCACATATGAATACTCAAAGCAGGCGTGACCGGATTTGGCCACAGTTACATTTTATATGCAATATTAAATAATAGATGTGTATAATATCTTTAAAATTAAATGAATTACATGAAATGAGATATTGCTCCAGGTGGACTTTGCTAATAAACCACCAGTAAGAGATGCCCAGCAAACACCCCCCCCCCCACTTACACAAATACAAGAAGCTTATGTTTTTATTTCGGACAGTAGCAGACACACTCAGCAGGCAACTGCCTGCGTCTTCCATCTCCAGCTTGTACTTCAGCAAACAGTTCGGGTTGAATCGGTGCAGGTACACAAAGTGCTCCCCCTTCTGTCAGGGCACATGAATAACACACGACGGTTAGGGAAGCAGCCCCATTGCACCACTCATCCTACTAGAAGCTTCCCAATATAATGAAAATAAAAAATAATCAAATAAAATGCCCAATAATAAGGGCTGCAGTTGTAGCTCAGTGCGGAAGTGCAGTGCTTTAAGTTGCGACAGAATTACCATACAGCCTTTTCATATATATACACAAGAAATAAATGCTGTACTTTTTCCATAGATTGTTAAGATTAAGATTAAGCTGAGCTTTATTTAGTTTGAGTTTATTGCTTTGTTTGCGTGGTTCTTGGAGCAAACGCCTAGTCAAATTCATTTTAAATGTGACCTTACTTGGCCAATAAAACTGATTCTGAGTCTGTTTAGCTTTAGATATCAAGGGGAACTTCTGCCGCAAGATATGTGGTACAAAGTAGCATATTTGTAAAGAAAGGGGAGCACAGAGTTTGTGAACGTCACCTCTCGAAAGAGAGGCAGTCCCGTGCTCTGCCGAGGCTTCGGCCCCGTTTACCTGTTCTGTTGTAAAAACAACGACTTTCTGCTTCCCCTTGACAAAGCTCTCGCTCCACCTGCATAACAAGACAAAGTATTTAGTTTAAACCAGTAAAAAATATACCACTCAGCTTATTTATAGAAAAAAATTCCGTAAAGACTGATTACAAACTCAGGTGAAGAGAGAAGTAAAGACTAAATCTGACCAGAGCAGAGTGACTACTGAGCAGTTTTGGCAGCTGATGAGACAGATCATAGCACTCGAAATACTGCTTTCATGGCCTGTACATACCGGATGACCTCCCCCTCCGGGAGCAGCTCCTCAATGGACTGCTGGGGAGCAGCCAGGAGGGTATCGAGTATCCGGACGCCCCCCCTGGCAAACAGCACCACCGGCTCGCTGTCAGGGAGGGCATGGACCCTCGCGACATCAGCAGACACCTGCATGGGCCAGAACTCAGTAAAACACCAAGAAGCAGAGCTAAAACGGCAGCCAATAAGCTTTACGGACTGCTCTGCACAATTAGAACAAATATTGAAAAGATGGATAAACTAGAACATTTACTGTATTTTTTCACTTATTAGTGAAATTGCTAATGCATTGTATTATGGCTGAAAAACATAGCTCTTAAATTAAATATATGCATTTTCTGGAGGTAACAGAGGTACACATTTATAACTGCAAACTGAGATACACTTACAGTTGCTTTAAATGCTTTGTCAAAACAGTCCTCATCTTTCCAAACTCTTATGACCTGAAAAGAAAAGCACAAAACACACCCATTTTCAGCACAAAGCCGTTTTATCATCTCAATACAAACATCAGAAGAAGTAGCTAAGCTAATAGTGACAGAAAGTCATTAAACATCAGTGGCAGTGGAAAACAATCCACTCACAACCATTCACCCGTCTGTTACAGATTTCGTTTTAAAGCATAATAAACAGTTTAGCTGTTCCCTATTTGACATGAAATATCGTTTGTTAAGTTTTTGTAGTTATCAGATGAATATCGATGGATTACACCAGTGGTTTCTCTGGCACTGGTGCCACTCTGGAGTTCTTACCTTGTTGTCAGTGACCACCACATATTCTCCGGTCTGTGTGTTGTACACTGCGGGGCTGGTGATCGTTTGCCCCTGTTTAACCGTCCAGCTTCCCAGCGGCTTTTGGTCTGAGACCTGGTGTAAGAAGTGTCGGAAAAGGCGCGTTATCAAACTAATGATTTTTACATAGTTAATTAGTATGGTGAAACGCGACAATGACAGTGATACAACTATCTAGTTATTATTTAAGAATCGGTCAGCCACTAGTTTACTTTTAATCGGAGTTCAGGTGAAATACAATTACAACTGTTTTTTGTGCGATGGGTGCGTGTGCGGTGAGAGCATGTTTTGGAGAACTGGCATCTCAGTTATGATGTGCATAGGCTCCGAAAAGGCAAATGCTCCCGTCTTCTTTCATTAGTATTACCTTATACACAGTTATGGATTTCCTGGCATCGGTAACGATAACATGATCGGCTTCCCTGCCCTGTTCAATGCACAGGATTCTCGCTTCAGCACTGCTTGGTCCCGATGCGAGTCCGCACAACGTGAAGCCATCGCACAGCGCAGCCATTGCAAAAGAAGAAAATGCAAAACTGCGCAACCGCGAAAGCTACGCACTGAAACCATAGACCCTTCTATCGGAAAAACGAGGATATATAGCGGTATAGATTACGAGATGCTGCCACTAAGCGGCCTGGAGGACTTCACTGTAGCCCTGAGAGAACTTGCCTTTTTGAGCCTTTCGTTATGACCATGGCTAATAATACGCTGGAGCGAATCAATGCATCATTTATGTTAAATGGAGTCTGGGGATGCATCTTCTAATCTAGATTTTTTTCCCGACATATGGATATGCACACTGGGACTACAAATGTTAAAAAACATAAATTTACCCATATAAGAGAATGAGAAGAAATAAAATGTGCGAATGAAGAAGACAGTAGATCATGTAATTGCAACTAAACTTTATTAAGTACAACATTTAAGAAAATATGTCGTAGTTATACAAGAACAAAGTAAAATGAAAGTGCGACTACAATAATAAAATAACACACAGAGAAAATGAAAGAACTCAGAGCGGCTTCCAGCAGCCTAATGAGGATGACACTTAACCCTTCGAAACACTCAGACCTTGGTCATTTTTCTACATTAATATAGTTAAAATGACAACAAAACAAAACCATAGTGAATACCATACAAAGTGAAATTAATATCAGGTTGATCCTGTTTGCTTGCAAGTTTGTCAAATTCACTGGAAAAAAAATAAAAATAATAAAAAATACTGTAACAGTAAATTAAAATCAATTGCTAAGCATACATGTTATTTTGATCATAAAATCTATGTCATGTTAAAAAACAATGTCAACAGAAAACACTTTCAAATACATTTCTGAACTCATAAAAGCAAAGAAAAAAGTACATATATACTGGAAAAGTGAAACAGTTTTGTGGACAATCTGTTCCTCATTTATTGGCGGATATATGTTAAAATGTATTTAAACAACTTTTAAAACAAGTGGTGCGTTATGCAAATTTATAGGCCCAATCTAGTATCCTGATAATTCTCTTTAAAAGGTGGCACATTTTTTGGGAATAGCTCTTGAAAACTACCCTTATGTTTGTTCTAAAAATCAATATGGAGACACTTAACACCTGCTAACAATAAATTCTTAAAATTATACAATAACAACTATTAAAATGATTGTGAGAAACTGTGTTTATTCACCATGTTTATTGAGAAATTAACATGGTAAATATCAGAAATAAAAAGGCAGTCCTGTAATGATTCACAAATTCACAAATAAACTTCATATTTAGATGCCACAATAAGAACTTAGAAGTCTTGGTTTCACATCTAAGTACAGTTTCCATGAGACGTTTCAAAATATATTTGAATCTATACACAATGATAGCCTTGTGGTATGTGCACAAGTGATATTTTAGCCTAATAACCATGTAAGACTAACTTTACAAGATTGAACTGTAACCAAGTTAATTTATTAGACCTATGGATAGTTCTATAAAACACAGTAATGTATTTTACCTCATGAGAGATTAAAATAGAAACCCATACCCGTATAAGCACAACATCTCTGAAATACACAAGTGCTAACAATTATTTGACATACCAAATGTATATCAAGCAGACTTCCCTCAAGGGGGTGACATTTGATAAATATTTGGTATGTTCCAAATGAAATTTCTCCCTGGATAAAAAATTCTGCTCATTGATCCACCTAAGCTTCTATTATAATCTTTATGCTTAAGGTAAACATACTTGGCCTCACGGTGTAATATGCTATTATCAAGCAGATCGATGCATGACAAAGCATTTGTAGTGCACCAAATGTGCCGTTCCGTGCAAATCTGTTCATACTCTGTGCAGCTCAATGCACTTTGACGCGTGGTTGTGAGACAGGAAAGGTTTACCATCGCCTTCAACTTTGTGAGAAGCGACATGCAACCCGATGTAAAAAAGGACTGGACGTTTCGATGCTATACAAGTATCGTACAGATTTGGTATAGAGGTCAGAGGACAGATCCACATGCAGAGGCACGGTGTGGAGAACAGTCTCCTCAGAGCATGCTTGGTTTCTGAAGAAACTCTGCATTACCAGAGCATACGGCCTTTTATACTGGCATTCATGTTTTCCACAGTTTCCACAGTAACACCAACAAACCCTCCATATTAGATACATGTACACACTATACATATATATATATCTATAAATATATGCGCAAAGATTCCATGCGGCAGAAAAAAACCACCATAGACTGAACAGTTTATATTCAGAAGTCACTCCATGAATGCTTGCGTCTATCGGTTCTGTCTCCCCGGTAACAGTGTCCAACAATTATCAAAATGAAAAAAATGGGTATAAACTGAGCAACTCAATGTGAATTAATGTCTTTATTAAACATTATTATTAGCCAAAATGCTCTTACACCAGCAAGCGTGACTAACAGGCATTCCAAGGACAGCAAGGAATAAAAATGTACTTTATACAGGAATCTTCTTTGTAATGGAAGTCTCAAGTAATGATATATTAGCCTACCATATCTATGTACGGTACTTTCAGTCATGATTGGTAAATCTCTATGCTCTATTTGTTTTGCCCCATTTTCTGCACCATCGTGTTTCAGCTTTTGTTCTGATCGAGACGATACAAATAAAAAGCCCTGAACAGTCGCAATGACCCAGAATGTTCACAAAGTTCAATGTATCTGATGGAGATAATGGAAGAACAGTCAAGTTCATTCTGAATTCTAGAGACACTGAGCTTCAAGGCAACACAAAAGGAAACTGCTGTACACAATAGTTCACATGTAATAGACCTGAACTCTGTTTGCCGTCGCAGCTCCAGAGATGAGCTAAGAGGAACAACATTAAGGTTTAAAGTGACCCTTCTTCAGCAGTTCAAAGAATTTAGCGATTATTAATATGGTCTGCAGGCCATTTGAGTTCAGCTCTGTGTTCTGCACTCCCTGCATAACCATTCTGAGCTTTGTTGATGAAAGCAGATATTTATATTTCTGTACACATATAAAAGTACAACTACAATAAACCTCTTTTGAACAGCAACTGGGCGTCATGGCTTGTATATTAACAGCACGGGGTAGGCAGCTGAGCGGCAGAGACCTGAGACACTGAGATTGTACCTGGCTGTAATTTTCATATCTTTATGTTTGGGTGGGAGTCTTGCTCAAAGACAAAATGATACAGATATATACACAGTTTGGTATGTATTTGTCCAGCAATTAGGAGGGGTAAATATGACTTCAGGAGTCACAGATAATATACTATTATGCTCTGAATTAACCATGAACCAATTCTCACTTAACATATTAACCAAAAACTTTAGTTAACCATTACTTTATAATGTACATAATCATTATCTACCCACTAGATACTGGTAATAGTGATTCTAATGGACCAATAAGAAGGTTTGTTCGAGTAAAAACAACCTGAGGACTTATCACTACTTATCCATTAGTTCTACGAATTAATGAACTTATCTAATGTACTTACTCGTTAAGAGGAGATAAATGTAGCACTAGATAAGTAACATTAAGTTTCATTACACCTAATTGAAACCATAATTATCAGTGAATTGAACTGCAAACAGTTGTCTATTAACAGTAGTTGAAGGTGGTGTTAATTGCTAATTGCTGTGCATTTGTAAGATGCTATAAGATGTAAGTGATGCGATATGCATGAGTGGTTCCCACTGTGATGCTTGGAGGAGGCCAGATCACGGTCTGGGTCTGCTTTGCCGGTGACAGTATTAATGGTCTTTACAAAATCAACAGCAGCCTAAAACAACCTACCTTACTCCAACATTCCATCAGGATTACAGCTGATTGAGCAGGAAAGTCCTGCATAGTTTAGCCAGATAATGACCCACCACCTTGATCCTCATGTTTCATTGAGTATATAATGTGTTTTTTGTTTCGTTTTCAAATATTTACAGACAAATATGACATAAAATGATATAGAAAACCTATTTTTGACTCATATGGTATATATGATATTATATAAGATATTACTTAGTCATGATAGTCAGCAATACAATAGCGGTACATACACTTGTGATTTCATGAGGAATTACTGGACAATTACAAAACAAACCATGGAAGATCAACAGCGATTGCATTCTGGTCCTGTTGTGTTTCAGGATATGGCTGGAACAGAACACTGGCACATCTCAGACTGGCTTGGCATTTCGGAGGGCTGTCCCATGAGACTGAACGCGGGAAATCTGGGCCCTGGTCAATGAGTTTTGAAATATACTCATCATACATAGGCAGTGTGTTTGGAGATAATTAATTCGGGTACCGACAACAAGCCTGGAAATAAATAACCAAAGTATGGCTAGCGAGTTCAGCCATTAATCACTGTAATGTGGCCAAAGAGTTTGGAGATGAATCACTGAAGTACAGGCTAAGGGTGTGAAGATTAATGGAGTGTGGAAGATAAGAGGACCTGCAGAGAGAACCACACATGTAGGTATACGTAGGGTTGCAAAGGGCTGGAAAATTTCTGGAAATTTTCCTGAAACTTTTTGTTCCATGGGAAGTTAAGCTGGGGAATTTTGGAAATATTCCACATTAGAAACTTTCCATGGGAATTAACGGGAAAGTATGGGAATTAACAAGAATATTCCTAGAATTTTGCAACCCTAGGTATATGTGAGGGGGGCAGAGGGGGTCGGTGTGGTTGTGTCTTTCTGGGGGGGTGGTCACTGTGGCGGCTGGGGACTGGAATGACAGGCCGAGGATGAGGGCTGGGGGAGGTTCAGCTCGTTGCTTGCGGGGTCGGGCAGTGTGAGCGTCTCAGGAGCCGATTTCTTCCGGGGCCGGTCCTTGGGCACGGACAGGAACTCGGGCGCCTCAGTGGTGAGGGGGGTGGAGGGGGCACTGGAGGGGCCGCTGCGGGCGTAAGATGCCAGGGGGGTCTCGCTGATGGAGATGGATGGGGGGAAGATCCCGATCTTCTTATTGGTCGCTTCTTGAGTGGCGCGTTCAAATTCTCTCACCTCATCCATTGTCATGTCTTTCGGAGAGAAGGAAACAAAAAGGCCAGAAGCAAAAGTGTTAGATTTCATGTCATTTCCTCAGATCCGTCACATAGCATGTGCATGTACAGAGAATACACTGTTTTGTCTGATGTAACACTTAGTTTATCATAAGCTTCAGGTAAATAAGCACTCGAGCAAAGCGAAGAATAGCCAGACTAGCCAACATGCACATCAACATGTGTATGAAATATTGTTCTTTCATTCATAAAAAATCAGCATGATTAGCCTGTGACTCCTAATGCTCATTTGCGTGGTTCTATAGCAGTTAAATCCAGGACTGAAAGTTTAGTACTGAAAGTATTTTCTACAAAGAAAGGAGCTGGAGACTATTTGGGTGGCGATTTAAAGTATGAAAAAGACAGAAGGGAGGCGAGGCATGAAGGATCAGCGTTTCCCAACCCGGTCCTCGGGGGCCCCAAGACAGTCCACATTTTTGCTTCCTCCCAGCTCCGTCAGACAGTCCACATGGGAGGGAGCAAAAACCTGGACTGTCTTGGGCTCCCCGTGGACCGGGTTGGGAAACACTGTAGTAGATCATAAAGGTACAAACAAAATGAAACACATACACTTGCTTTGGCATGGATCTCTATTTCATCCAGTGAAGGTGAATTTGTGGAATGTTCTTGCTGGTCATGGCAAACCTTAATGTTGGTTTTTTCATGCATTTGTTTCTCGTATTCCCGCACGTCATCCAAAGTCATATCTGCAAAAATTCAAGACGTTGGCACCTCCTGTTAGGACACTCCAGACAGACCTAGGTAGAGGGGGAGGGGAAACTGGAGGAGAGCAGGGCCTTGGCTGATAGTTAGAAGGTGCCAGAGGTTGGTAAGCTGGGGGAAGCAGATGGGGCAGAGCTATTTTCCCACAATGCAACTGGGCTTGTGCTGCTGGGAGCTAAGTCAGGCGAGGGCAGGAAAGAAGGCAAGGAAGATAAAGGGCTTCAGGAAGAGGAACGGTAGGTGCAGGAAAGCAAATGATCCAGGGGAAGTTGGGAGACATGTCATTCAGAGATGGGAGCATTTCCAGGAGGACTGGATCTTCAAAAATGCAGGCTTTCAAAGATCCTCTGACTTCATTTGAGGATGAAAAGCTTTCCAGATTAGGCAGAAGAATCAAGGCAAGGCTTTGCATTTTGCTTCGTGTCCATTTCTTTCTTACGCACTTACCTTTAAGCGTCGCAAAGCAAAGCTCAGTGGGGTTAGTGGAAAAAATTGGCTGGAATGTGAGTGCAGTGCATGGACACATCAACAGACTCTGTTCAACAATCACCATTTGTTTTCTAGTTAATTCTTACAAAGGCTGCCCATTAGATTTCCTGCTCTGTAGTTCTGGACACTCTAATGCGGTTTCTGACTTTACTGGCTGGAATAATAATCCCACAGCTTTCTATAGCAACCCAAACATGCTTTTTCCTTACTGATGATCAGAGCTGGATACTCATTTCTCATTTGTATGAAAAAGAAGGAAAGGCAACAGGGGTCAGCAGGTGGACGACCGAGCGGCTGTCTGCCGTGAGGACGTCACGGTGACCGCCTGCCTGGAACAGGGTCTCAGTGACAGCTGGGAGGAACAGGGAACGGGCAGGTAGGGGGTCCCTGAGACCGGGCACACCATGCTATGATGCGGAAGGGGGAAGATGGGAAAGCCAGCGGAGACGGCGGGGGACACAAAGGAGGTCAGAGGCCTTTAGGCAGCTTGTGCTGCACAGTGAGTTAGACGTCCGTTAGGGGGCCTTGCCAGTGACTCCCACAGCCAGCTCTGTTAAGAGGGAACCTCCCCAAGGGGGGGGCAGCAGTGCTCAGACGGCACTGCAGCGGCAAAATGGATCAGCGCAGTGAAAGTGAGCCGATAAAAACACAGCTTGGCAAAGGGACTCCAGTTTGGCACATGCACGCTGCCACCACCCCCGCACACGCTCTCTGGTTACCGCGCCCCGCCCACGGATCCCCGTCAGAATGCAAAGAGGCCCGTCGCATTTCCACTGGCAACAAATGCGACATTCGTGACTCATTTAGGACGCCACGCTATTTACATGTCACTATAAAAAGGTTCTGTAGACAAACTAAATGCAATTCCCGTTTCGAGTGACCGCATCTGGGTTTAAGGTAAATGTGAAACGTGTTCTGAGCTTCTGTACCACGACACTGACAGGTGTTAAAAAACGGCAGGTTTGGGGAGCGAGGTCTCTGCCCCAGTGCCATGGGCTCTGAGCTGGGAGACCAGGGGAGGATGAAAGGCACCATCCCACCCCACCTCACCCTGCACTGCGCTGCACTCAGACACGGGCCCGTTTTATATGCTTCTGTAATTACGGCTTTCATGGTTTGGTTCAGGGAGAGAAGAAAAGGACAGAAATCAATATCTGAGCGCGGGGGGGGGCGTGGTGCTTTGGCCGTCATGGCGTTTGAATGGAGCATGACGCCCCACTGTTCATTACCAATAAATCACATTCCCACCAGCGGCGAAGGAAATGGACTCCAGCGCCACTGGATAAGGCGACCGCCCGTAATCACGGCCCGTCTCTTTCCGAACTTGTCTTCTGACCTGGAGATGCTGTCCACACTTGGCTTCTGCTCTGATCTTAGCTCCTGTCTGCTCCAATCACAGGCCGGTATCGACGGCTGTCTGCTCCCCACCCCGGTGCCAATCAAACACTTCTCTGGCTCTGAGGTTAAACACCGCCCCTTGGCTTTCGTCCATGTGAGATGGAAATCGGACCTGATGTATCGCCTGTCGATTCCACCCCGGAGGAGCTGCTCTTCACATCAGGTGGTGTAAATGAATTACCCACAATGCCTCTCTGTGTTCCATGTCCAAATCGTCTCATTCACCTGAGACTCAATGAAACGATTATTCTAAAAAACTGTGGAATACCGAATGATGACAAGAGCAGCGGTAATATGATCCGTTTGTATAAGAAGCTAGACTGTCTGCCTGTATCAATCCTCTCCACCTCATAATAAAACAAAAGCCTTTGTTAATCAGGTCACTTGATAACCGACTTTGATGTGAGAGACGAATACTAACGTTAGGCCCTTTCAGACAGATGGCATTATATTGCACATACACAGAGATTAGCTGTGTTACGTCACCATTCATGACAGCAGGAGGAAACGGGGAGGGGGGGGGGGGTTGCATGCGTGAAGGTGAACGCAGGACCTACCGATCCACTCGTCCACCCAGGCGAAGGCCTGCCTGTGTCCCAGTAGTAGGACGTCCCGCACAACCTGGGGGGTTAAAACGACAGATGAAAATGCTTTAGCACCCATCATTGCTGGGTGGTGCTTGCTGCTTCATGCCCATAAATAGGAAAACCAGAAATACGAGCAGTGCCACCCCCCCCTCCCCCCCAATAGGACCCTCCTTCTGGAGAGGGGCAGGAGAGCTGCGTCTCGGCCCGGACCCCCCCAGCCGGACGCCGTCGTGCCACTGACCTTGTGCACGAACTGCTCCACGCGAGTCTGCAGACCCCACACCTCGAACTTAACCGTCACCAGCTTGTAGGAGCACATGATGGGCTCCTGCGTGTCCCGCCAGCCCTCCTGCAGCAGCCCTCGTGACGTCTTCTCCGACCTGAATTGGCGCGGATCCTGCGGGGAGCCACGGCGACACGGGGCACTAAGAGCTGCAGCCGGGGAACCTCGCCATTCCGAGAAGGCTAACTGGCATGCTGGCAAAAGGGTTAGTGCCGATACGGAAATAACTACAAGGGTCGACCATCCGCGGTGGCATTTAATCAGCTGGCGCTTTTGTCCAAAGCAGCGTACAGGTGAGCGGGGCAGGACTGAGACTGGAAATCGCCATACAGGCTCACCACACATACATACGTAACCCCTACTGGGGGAGGAGGCCCCTCCCACCACAAATTTTGCAGCCCACAGCCCCTTTGGCTCACTATGGAAATGCCCCGTATGGCAGATGGCCAATCTGAGAGGCAATGAGAGTCAGCCAACATCCCCTAGAAAAATTAGGGTTAAAGGCTTTCATCCTCCCCCAGACCCCCAGCTCAGAGCCACACATTTCCTGTAGTTAGTGGCTCAAACAGTGGAAAAGTCGCCTTTGAGTCTGAGCTTTGCACCAGAGAGGCGCTGTCATAAAGAATGATTCTCCCACTGTGCAAGCAATGGGGCCCAGGCCAAGCAGAGCTGGAAAACAGATACAGTCCAGCGTGGGGATAATGCGATTGGATAATGCTGGGTGCTCCCCCCTCCCTGGGGGTCCCTCGGTTAGGCTGTCATATGTAATTGGGGACACTGTTGTCATTGCACGGGATGAGCAGAGTGAGCAGAGGCCCAATCTCAGACACAGCCCCCCCACCCCGATTTGAGGAACTGGCGAGGTGGAAATCGGGGGGAGGGGTTGCTCTCATACTGTTACCATTTCCATGCAATATTCAGCACAGAAACCAGAAACTGGGATTCATCAAGGGAAATGGACGCAGCAGAGAGAGTAACACAGCGGAATGAATAAATGGCAGATGGGTGACACTGAAATCTGAGAGAGCGGGAAACTGGCCTGAAATGCTGGTGAAGGGTTCAAATCCCATGACTGGCAGAGTAACCATACCACCAGTGGGCACCTGAGCAATGCCCAGAACTATTCTAGGGGGGCGTTTCCCAATCTGCTCCACGGGGACCCCCCCCCCCAGGCAGTCCATGTTTTTGCTCCTGGGAGGAAGGAAAAATGTGGACCCTCTGAGGTTCCCAGAGGGCCGAACTGGGAAACCCTGCCCTAGGGGGTATTGGCTGACATTGTTCTAAGACTGGTCATCAGCATGGCCAACCAGGCTGTGACCCCCAGGATTACCGTAACAACAACCCCCCACCCCACCCCTGGAACACGCTCTGGGCCCTACCTCTGACTCCTTGTAGTATCGCTCAGGAATCTCGTCATAGGCAATGTCGACAAAGCACACCTCTCTCTCTTGGTCCTTGGTTTCGCAGTCGAAGATCTGAAATGACAGGCAAGACAGGAACATTTGCGCTGGGGGCTTCTAGCCTGCGGTGATGCTGACTAATGCAAGCTGCTATCTCTGTCTCCAAGGGGGGGCCTCTGCAGTCATATGTGAACAGTTGGAGGCTGGCAACACATTCCTGTTAAAACATGCTTTTTTTTGAGCATTCCTCTTGTGCTTTGTTACCCATTTGCTCAGGTCCAATAAAACTTGAGCACGACACAGCAAGTCTTTAAATTAAAGGTTGAGGGTTGCACGGTTAATGGAGTTTATAGAGATAGTTTGTGATCAGACCGCAGGGAGAAACTCTGACCCTGACTAGGATGGATCTCTTAACCAATGAAACGATTAGCGATCGATCAAATTTTAAGCACCGCCTGTTGTACAAAGTGCTTTGCGATAATTTACTTCTTCTCCAGCCAAAAACAGGGAACCAAACATGCTAGGATTAGAATAAATGTAATTATTCTCTCATGTTTTACAAGAATGTGACCTGGTGACACAAGCTATACAAAAATGGCTTGATAGTGCAGGACAGCAGCTGCCGGAGAAGGTCAGGCGATACAGCCGTCGGAGGCTGAGAAATGAAGGTGCATGATGATATCTATATCTATGAACTTATAACACATATCATAAAAAGTAAAACGGTATCCAGGGATCTGTGTATAAGGAGGATATGGCAGATGTGTTATTTTGCCATGATTAAACTGCTTCAGGCCAAATCATTCCTACAGTCAAGTAGCGCCTTGCACGCTTTTAAAATCTACTGTCATTTGTTATTTTTTGTTATTTTCTTGGGTGGGGTGGAGAGGCGGTGGCTTCTGTCTGAACTTGCAGGTTAAGGGAATGTGAGGTGAGACCAGCTCTGGTCCATGTCCCTGGACCAGACCTAGACCTAGGCGCTGATAGCAATGCTGCCCACCCAGAGTGCTTCCTGATGCGTGTTACATGACCATTGGGGAAATAACTGAGAATCGCTTTGCTTTAGTCAAGCAACAGCTTGAATTGACAGCCTAGGGTGGTCCACTTCGGACAGGGGGCTCCTGCAGCTTTGTGGCATTGACGCCTAGCAGACACGTTGAGCCAATCAGGACCCAATAAAATGCTAGAGGTTCTAGGTGGGGGACCTACATCTTTATATCAAGCTGTTTGAAGGTTTCAGCAGCACACTATGCGTGTCGTCCTCTAGCCGCGCCGTGTGTCTGTCAGTGTTTCCCTAAGTAAGAGCTGCACTGAAGCATCATAACACCATCACCTCCTCATACTCACATGGTCGTTGCTGCCTTTGTTGTCCTCATACTTGGTTTCTATGTGGATGGAAAACTTCGGCAAGAATGAGCACTGAAAAGACAACAAGATTTTACGCAAAAGCCACCCCAAAAATTTTAAAGATTCATCTAAGACCAAAATTGGGTGTTGCCTGTTTCACTGATAGAGAAAAAATGTTTTACATTCCAGCGCCTGTCTTCACTGACCCCTCATCATTAAGTTGTTTCCAAATGGTTAGAGCCAAAGGGCGTGACCATGTTTTGAGTGAAGTAGAAAAGCACATTCCAGAGTAATGAGAGACCTTAAACCCCTGTGATTCCAGCATCGGCAGGTCCACCTTCTCCAGCCTCGTCTTGCTCCAGCGCCGATAACGAGGTCAACCTTGCGATGACTTTGGAAAGACACCGTCCACAATCGCCGGCATTAATGCAGGTGTTAATGTCCCCTGGGGGCCCCAAGGCAGACGCAACCCAAAGGACTACAATTCAGCTGAGGTCCATTGATCAGAGCCTCTCAGCAAGATCTCACGGATCTGGAGATGCAGTGCGAAAATGGCTCGCTCCAGTTAGGGGCAGAATGCAGTAATTCAATCTGGAATCCCAGGGACTGTGAAGCAGTGCTGGTAGCATTTACAGGGAGCAGCAAGCACCTCTGTGGATGCTGGGGAGATGATGCATCACGTATTAAATTACTTATCTTTTTAAAAAAAAGGACCCCCTGATAGATCGAGAGGGTCATTATTTCACCATGTAGAGCCACAAGCCCCCCCAGGTTGCTATTCCCTGATAGCAGGCCGGGTCAATATGACCTCCTGGCCCATGCGATGGTTGGGGGAGGGGGGCTGTCAGTACAGAAAGAGAAGAGCACGGTCAGGAAATGGCGATGGGAGGTAATCAATGGGAGGACAGCGTGTGGGGGGGAGGCTTGTGGTGCGTGGAGGAGGAGCCTGAGGGAGACCTGGGGGGGGGGGGGGGGCAATTAATCTCCATGGTTCCTTGGCCCTCCCTGGCAGGTCTTGATGTCTTAGGCCATTATGTGAGATAGATGCACACTTAAACGAGAATCGATTTTTACAAAGTACTTCGTACTCGCTATACTCAGTACTCGGTATTCTCTCTGCAGTGTTCCAGCAAAGCGGCTGCTCCTTTCCCACCTGCCCCTGTCAGCCACTGGGGGTCTGTGGCACTGAGATCTGCACAACATCATACAAGAGATTCAGTGCTGGCCGATTGGCATTAAGGTGCATGCCCTCAACATGCCTTTAGGGGGTGCTCATGCTTTGGTTCACCAAGAGGAATCCGAGGACAGAAAACAGCTCAGACTGAGGCTGAACCATGTGTGTACAAGAAGAAACCCGATCATCTGATAGTCTTGCTTGTGCTGTGGGAAAATAAGCCATCCTTTCTTAATTGTCTCCGTCTGGGTGATAATAATCGCTGTTATTTCGTAATTTCATGAAGTGAACTAAACAAACAGACCATGCAGATGTTTGTTTTTTTCCTCTAACTTAAATAATATTTAATCAAATACAAAGGTGAACTCTTTCCTACTCAGATAATCAGTCTGACAATACCACAGTAGCACACATTAAAGCATATGCATCTAAAAAATGCTCTCAAAAAGCGTCACGTGTTCACACAGCACAAAGTGGCAGGAAACAAAAGCATCTTTACTGGCTCAGGCCAGAAAGGAGTTCATGAGTCAGTTGTGTTCAGCCCAGGAGGCCTTTGATCTATGTCATTATAAATTTAAAACAGAAAATGCTGTAGGTACTGCTGTAGGTACTTATTAGACTAACGACTTGATAAGGTCACATAGGGCCCGCGTCGGGCCTATTAAAGTGCTTTAGCTCCTTTTGTACCTTTTCCTGCTAATTTTATGAGGCCCCTTCCTTCATACATCCTTCCAAGAAAAAGCCAGCATGGTGCGCCAGGTCCATTTGGCATGCGGGTGTAAAATACACGACAGGAAGAAGTGGATTGGTGCTGTAATCAGACCTACAGAAAGCCGGTGCCATCCTAGCTTGGACCATGCGGTAAGGGAGCTGGCGGGTGGTAGGGGTTTGATGGGAGGACATGCCTGCTAGCACTGATCGTAACACCCCAGGAAGGAGCCTCTTCCTGATCAGGGACAAACAAGGTCATGGACACGCGGGCGGCTGTGCCAAGGCCGTGTGAGGTCGCCCACTGTGGGTGTCGCCTTCAGTGCTCAGGCACAGCTGTTTAGCCAATCACGTACCTTATTCCTTCTCTAAATCAATGTGGCTCCTTTTCCTTCCACCAATCAACACCAGTCACTCGTTATCACCCTGCATGTCGGCTTGAAGCACGTTCTGCTGGGTTTCCTGCGAATCGACGCATCTCTCGGGCCGACCCCTGAGCAGACGCAACGCTGTTAAATAACATTGAGTCAGAGATGATTCCCACATGAGCTCACGCAGCAAACAGGCCATCAGGACCCCCCCCCCCCCCCCCCCAAGGTTCTCTTTATTTTGGTTGTTCGAATCATTTGGCCTCCGACTGTCACGGTTCATCAAACGCTACTGCGAGGAGCGTGTGAGTACACAAGGCTTGCGGATCCGTGCTACAACGCAGCTTTTCATGAATAATCTCTGAGGCAGTGCGGCGTCACTGGCTTCGGGACGGCGCAGTGAATGTCAGCGCTAAGCAGCCACAGTCTCAGAGAACAAACTCGTGATCCTAAAGACTGCCTTTTGTTTCTTGATCAGAACATTATGTTTGAGGGATTGAAGCAGCACCTGAATACACTGGTATATTTCATAAGCACTGTCACAGTTATTAGCACTGCTGACAAAGGAAAATGACACTGCAGGGTGGCTTCTGGCTCTGTGTGGAGAGTTAATGGCTGGACTCTTGCTTTACTGGGTGCTAAAATGCTTATATGCTGTGGTACGTTGCCTCTGGTGTCTCAATGAGTCAAGAATACAGAACAGAGCTATAGAAAAATCAAAGTTTAACACTGCCGATCACATGGTACACCTCCGACTGCACGCACTGAGGTTTTCAGGTTTTCTCCATGTCAGACGTTTTCTCTCCAGCTGGCGTGCCTCTGAACACTCGGCGCTGACTGGGTTTGGGCGGCTCTGAGGCACGCAGCAGAGGCGGCTAACTGGGACTCACACACTGAGCTACAGTCGGTACTGCAATGGACAGTGTTGAAGGACTAAACAAGGTCATGTGGTTGGCAAACAGGATCCAAAACATAGCGCTAAACCAGAAGCCAGAGAATGATAAACTAGTAAATCCAAAACTCAAGGACCAAGACATCAGACATGAAACCAGGAACCGGGAAAACCAGAACAAGCCTGCAGGCCACTGAGGCTAACTAATGACACATTGTCCAGAAGGGGCTGAAATGTATTTAGTATCCTTTGAGCTGATCTGAAGGTGGGCGTGGCAAGTAATGACCATGTAAGTGGCGAGTAAACAGCAAAATGGTTCAGTACAATGTCTGATTTGGACCTCTGGAGCTATTTGGGTTTTCATCATATTATATAACGACTATATTCACTTTTTTTCTACTTTAGGTCTAAGGGCCAGTTTTGTACAATGGAATTATCCATTCATCCATTATTATGAATGGTGAAGTCCAAAGACAACCCACATTCAGAAGCTAATTACTGAGCCATAAGCCCAAGATTCATGACGACGGAAGCACGGGCCCAGCACCCTTTTTGGAGATGTGTGAATGACCACACACTCAAGTAAATGCGGCGTGTGGGAGGGGATTTAATGGCGCAGCTTACAGCGTGTTTTTATCCTTAAAAATCTGCAGCATGCTTAGCCTTTTCCTTATTTATTAATCCCACATTTTTTCAGCAAAGTAGACACTGACCTTCACATTTAGGTGCTGCTTTAGACATGTTAATGAACGTCTTGGAGAATATTTGTCCTGCCCCGCTCGTACGATCCTCCCGTGTGCCACACCCCCTCATCTACCCCGTGTGATCAGCTGTTTCCCCTAGTTGTTGATGTATTTAAGTCTGCGTTAGGTATGTTTTCCCCTGTCCAGTCATTAACGCCCGTCTTGTTATGGTCCTTGGTGTTTTCTTAATAAACCCTTGTTTCCCGACTCTCCATCTCCCTGCTCCTGCTTCCCCGCTCCATTCCATGACAATATTAAAGTCATTGGATGGACCAAATGCTTCGTCAAGCAGATTGGTTTATTGCGATCATGTGACATGTCCAACAAATGGAGAAGAGATCTGTGTAGAGCAGGGCTCTTCAAATCTGGACCTCGATTCCAAATCCAAGCCTTGTTTTCAGTTCTCCCAGGGAGTTAGTTTAATAATTACTGATTCTGATTGGCCATAGAGGCTTCACACCTGGCTCACAGGAAAAGGAATGGAAAATCAACAGTGCTCAGCCCTTGAGGACCATGATTTGAATAGACCTGGTGTATAGATTATGCAACTCAATTCAAGACTATATGGTGCATCTTGTTCATCTATAAACTGGTAAAGGGCATTTGCTAAGCAAAAACACATTATTACAATATTATTATGGTATCAACCATGAAAGTTTTGGTTCGCTTGTAAGTATCACTTCATTGCTAAGCCAACCAACTGGCTTTGCGAGCGGATTTGGAAACTATTTGTTTTAGGTTTAACAAAAAAATGGATTTTATTACCCATTACCCAAAACTTTTTCATTTTTATCTTAAAGCAAACTTGTGCAAATTGCTGCATTGCAAGACAAAGTTTTCTTAGACAAAGTAAATTAATTAAATATACAGCCTGTCCCAGAAATACTATTTGCTGAGTCTGCACCCCTCTGTGTTAAGAAGATTTATGAAATATATGTTATATTGGTAAATGGAGCTGGGATACTTTAAATAATTCCTGCACCTGCGTTCAGCACGCACTCCCAGTCACCTGGATACGTTAGCCATCGGCAGAAAGGACCGAGAGACAGCCTGACATTGGCTGTGAAATCAGAATTACGCAGCAGAGTAACACAAAAGAAGAGCACGCTTTTCTAATCCCACCGATTAGCGAGGCACCCCTCCATTCTCATATACCACTGTGACAATGCGGTCTACTAACTTAATTTAATTTCTAGGCATGTTTTCCCCAAGCTGAGGTGCCGATAGTGGCCCGTGGATCGATAGGAGATACAGAGGAGATACTCACTGTGTACTCTGCAGTCATGTCGGGATGGGATCGGCGTGATAGGGAAGGAGAGAGAGAACAAAATCAACAGTTCAGCATCGGCTACAGAGATCGCTTGATAAAGAAAACCAAGGAAGAAGAGGACTGCAGACACCAAGTCCGGGTCAAGCTGCCCACTCCTTCTCAATACCAGACTGACTTTCTCAGTCTCATTCACACCCTACATGGCATATATAGGACGGTGATTTGTGATGGGTGTTTAAGGCTGGACGGTAACTGGGATACATGAGTCAGCACAGTGTGATTGTTAGGCAGCTGGGCGACCGGTAGACAGGCTTGCAGAGAGCACTGCTGAGAATACCCAGTTTCCCAGTGGAGAGAATCAGGCCGGCCCAGTTGGGCTCAGCCATCAGTGGTGTTATTCCAAACCGCTCTCCTTACACATGCCAGTCACACTGCGAACAAAGGACATTTCTTCATTTTTTCATAATTAATATAGATTGCACTTTCACATGTTCTGGCATTTGATGGCACTTTTCCCCTCAGCGTACTCATCTTCAGTTTCATACTCGTACAGGGAAGGCAGGAACTGTGCCTCTTGGTCATTCGTCACTAAGCCAACTGCTTTCCCTGCACGCTGTAACTGGGAAGCTTGTTGATACAAAGTCACCACACTGCTCAGGAATAGCCAGATTCTCTTATGCTATCTTGCACTGCCAATGACAACAAGCTGCTTATGTAATTCATAGCATTTATCTTAAGTGGGCACACAAGAAATCATTTTTGTTTTCCAGTGCATCCATTCGACCGATCCCAACCAATGCAGTTACAGCATTTGGGGAACAGTGTGTGGCTCAGTGGGTTAATCCTCGGTGCCTGAGGTCGGAAGGTGGTTGGTTCTAATCCCATCCTCAGCAGAATCCTTGTATCTCTGTTTGGCCCTTGAGGAAGATTGGTAACCCTCTCAAACGCTCTAGAGGCATCAGATAAATGACTGACCTAATGCTTGAACCCCAAGCTTTATTCTGAAGTATATGTGTGTGCAGAGAGCAAGATAGAATATGTGACCTAGAAGCATTCCAATGTACCTGTACCAATGGCCCATAAAGCCTCCCCCAGTTTTAGCCTTTGCCCAGGGAATCTAGTCATTACCTGTCATCTTATCGCCGCCTTGCCTGAGGTCTCACCTGTGATGGTGTAGGGGTAGTAGTTCCAGGCCTTCTCCGTCACATAGAAGATTTTCGGGACCACTGCTCTAGCCCAGCTGGGGAGCTTACTGGAAGAGACCAATGCAATAAGGGTGACAATGTTTGGTCCAAACTAGGGGCAACAATTAAAATACAAAAAGCTGGGCATGTTAAAACCTCTATGACATGAATCGGAAATAGCCTCTAGTTGGCAGTAATGTTTTTCAGTAAGACAAGTGTCAGAGAGCAGAGGCTGTTTGAGCCTATTTGGTTTAGAATGCTGTACCCATAATCAGAAGGTCATGGGTTCAGATCCCAGGGCCAACAGAGAAATTTCACTGCTGGGCCCTTGAGCAATGCCCTCGATCCCTTGTTCCTGAGATTGTCTGACCTTGCCTTCTCAATCATACATCACGCTGGACCGAAGCTCTGTTACATAAATGTAACGTATTACTACCAATCACAGTGGGCCTCAGTGGGTTGGAAAAACTGTCCTTTCAGTAAGATAGGCTGGACATTTCTTCAACAGGGGCAAGTAGACGCATTAATCTGGAGGTACGTGGGTACGCAAGGAGTTCTTTGAGGCTGCACGAGCACTTAGGAGGGGATGAACACTCCTATGAAAATGCACATTCAAGTAGCACTGAATTAAAAGAGTCATTTTTGCATCGGATGCCCGGGTTCCTTTATTGCCCTGGATGGAGCAAATTATTACTGAATTTCCTAAGAGCCTTTGCAGATGCACAAATTGAATAATGCATCCCATTAGCCATGGTTTCTGCCATTGTAGGCTCAGACAGGGCAGAAGTACAGCAGAATGAATGTCAGACATGCAATAGAGAAACAAATTACTTCATGAATTGTAGGAAACTGACTGCCCTTCCACTTAATGCCCGGGGTCCTGGGATGGCCGTATTCTCACACGCTTCAGAAAAGCTGCATGCTACTTTTTCTTGTCCTCACCTGTGCTTCTTTATCCCTTTGTAGGAGGTGAAGCGCATGCAGAGTGGATAACTGACAGAAATGTCTGATATACAAGTTCGCAGACTTCTCATTGTTCGCGTTCAATATATATCATCCCCGTTTTTTAGTCTAGCCGTTACATTAATATGCCCGACGTGACGAAAAACATAGACCGGCACGAGAAGAGGCAGATTAGAGAGGCCCGTGACTCATTCATAAAAGAGTTTTCAGGAAGATAGAATCGAGGCATTCCTTTTTCCCAAGACATGCAAAGAAAAGCCGTCAGAGGCACCACCATACTTCTGTGACGCTCAGCGGGTAGCGAGGGCCCCACGTCCCCCCTCCGTGCTCCGATTTCACTGCAGCAAAAGCAACAAAGGACAGTAGCCGTTCCGCCAAGAGTAATGCTCTCATGCCAGATACAATTACTTAAAAATCCTTGCTGTAGCGGGTAAATCACTTGGGACCGCATGCTCAAATTTATGCTCTTGGCGTGGTCAGTAAAAACAACAGTGGATACACCATAAATCAGACAACACCAGTCTATACCAGGATCATCAGAACTGTCATGAATATGATTGATTAAGCATGACTCTGTGATCGTAAGTTAATAATTCATTCAACAGAATTGATTATTTTAGATTCAGTTGTTGGGTTATACTGTTTATAATGAAAGTTTCAGGATATTTTCACACAAGATTGTAGGTTTGATTTCAATGTTGGTACAGGGCAAATCTGCTCCGACCCCCCCACCCATGTAGACATACCCAGTTCTCCCTCAATGGTGGTAGGAACATACCCTTACTCTCCACACGCAAATCTACACCCTTGTTTTCAAACCAAAGACTTGGAAACAGGACATGGGCTGAAGCTGCTGCGGACTCTGATGCTCAGTGCCTCGGTCAGGATGCAGAAACATGAGGGGCATGGTCACGTGACCACGTGTGGCGCCGCCCTCCTGGCTGAGCAGGCCGAAGCTGGGCTCGGAACATCTCCCATCACGGCGGCAGGGCAGGCCCCCAGCTCCAGCCGATCGGCTGCTCCCACCAATCTCCTCACATTCCTCACACTGGTCTCCTGGCTAAATACGGAAAATCCGCGGAATCCGAGTGCGGATGGCGGAGTCTTATCAAGTTTTACCGAAAACCCCCACAGCTCTGCCTCCTGTACTGCTTTCAGCCTAACTGGGAGGGGGTCCCCTCAGCCACAGCCTCTTTGTGCTGCTGTGATAAGCGGTAATTAAAACGGTGGCAATGAAAATGCCAACAACAACAATAACATGGCAGTAATTTAATATTTAATTAGTGCACTGATTGATAAGTCTGCTCAGGCTCCCGGTGTGAATGTGAAACGACGGACCGGCGATGCTGATTGCAGAGCTGCTGGTGGACCCGTGTCCACCCCCATGCTATCTCTCTTCCAGAGTGGAAATGGCCTGTCATCACCACACCTCACTCCCTAACCTCCGGGGGGGCACTTCCAGGCAGGTGATCATTGCTGACTCTGCCGGATATTCAATTTTAGCCTTAAAATTTTAGCCGTGCTCCTTGAGGTGTGATTCAGGCTCCATTCATTTCCCCAGTCCCGCCGGCAGAATTGCGCTGGCTGTATCTGCACCACATAAAGCCATAAGTAATGCAGCCACATAATAGCTAGAATGACCTGGCTAGAAAAAAAAAGCTCGTTTCCAGAGTACAAAAGACCATCATACCTCCCAATCATTTTAGGAGAATGGAAGCAAATAACTGCAAGGTCCAGGACAGAAGAGAAGCCCTCAAGGCTCTAGCTGAAGTGACAAGAGGCGCGGAGCTTCTGAAAGTGATATTCTGACATGAGCCCATCCATCTGCTGCTGGATCCCCGAGCAGAAGGCTGTGTCGGAGAGGACGGCGCTCACTTATCCCTTTTTATCCACCCCTGCTGGAAATAATCGCGTGGGGAGTGTGGGCAGGCATTCTGTGTGGGATTTAAGGCAGAAGCAAGCTGATTGACAGCTTGGTGCCGGTCGGTTGCAAGGTCCCGACCCTCCGCAGCTTGATGGAATGAGGAGAGGACAGGTTATGTTTGGGGTAAGGCCTGTAGACAGGATGGGGCACCTGGGAGGGAGCTGGACACTGGAAGCTGAAGGGCATTGATCCCGACTTTGCAGTTCCATAACAGATACAAGGACACTGAGACACACACACAGGTCTGAGTGACTAATAACAAACCAGCACAACTCTGGGCATATCCGCTGTTCTGCCGTTTCCTGTGAATTTCCCCTGAGCTTGCTGCATTTGTTACGCCCGTTATCGCTGCGCCTAATGCCTCCCAAATGTGTCAGCTGTCAAGCCCGACCTGCGAATGTAACCGCTATGCACAGCCGTATAAAAGCAGAGCAGCTCTGTGCTTAACCTGCAGGAATCTACAGGAAGCTACAGGAAGTGTACAGGAGATGTGGAAGAAGTGTGCAGGAAACATGGAGGAAGTGTGCAGGAAATGTGGAGGAAGTATGCAGGATGTGTGCAGGTAGTGTGCAGGAAGTGTATCCTATTTGACTGAGTATTTAGAGCTGACACCTGACTGTGAAAGACTAGGGGCCTTGGATCTGCTGTGTTGGTTTTTACACAAACCTCTACCAGCTTTACACTCATTTCAGAAATTTCTGACCTATTGAAATGTGACCTTTAGAGTTATTTCAGGGAGAATACAACATTACAGGTGATTATTACTACAAAGGGTTCGGTGACTTGATATGTTGAAGGCAGGCCTGCCTCTCTCTGTCTTTTTTTCTCTGTCCTTCTACCTCTCATACGCTCACTGCAGGCCTGATAAGGACAAATGCTACATTTTTTTTTCGCTGAGTCACCAACAATCTTAGCTCCTGCCTGCCCGGAATGCTGACAGTGCTTAGAATTAACAGCCCACTGTGGACCTCCCACTTTCCCCGCTCCCCGAGCTCCCGTCCGTCAGGTGCTCACTGGTGCACAAACGCAGTGGCTGCAGGATCCTGAATCCTGGACTCTGAATCTGGTAGGAGCAGAGACTCTGGGCTAAGCTTGTTACGAGTTAAGCCGGCGTTCATTCATGTATCAGTCTGACTGCATGCACCTCGTTCCGCGTTAATAGCAAACATCTGACATGCACTTGCCCTCAGTATCCTGACTGCTACTTGAATTAATTAAGAATCTGATAATTAGGGCGTTCTCCTGAGAGGGAATCTGAGATATGCCATATGCCTACGGATAGATTTTCCTTGCCCAACCACGCATGCTCATTGAAATACTCAGAACATCAGAGCCACTCAAACACTACAACTCTCTGATTGGAGTGCTGGGAAATGAACTACTGTTAATTTGACAGCTTAATTTTCTTCTGAGACATTTTTAACGTGCTTTTAACTTGTGTGAACTCGTGTCGACGGAGGCACGAGCATGTTTGCGGGAGGGGGCCGAGGGAGGGGCTCTCCGGCACTCACCTGTTCAGGTAAACCCGCTTCTCAGTGAACTGACCACACCCATGGACGGGGTCATCATAGGGCTCGTTCTGCACCACCTCCACGCCCTCCCCGCGGTCGCTCTGCTCGTGACTATGCTTGCTGATCATGTACAGCTGTCCGATCCTGTACTGGGGGAAGCAAGGGGGGGGAGAGCAGGACTCAGACACAGCGTCCGGCTAATCGACAGCCACTTGCAGGACATGCAAAGAGGTGCTGGCGTTCACTTTGACAACATTACTTATACTGAACTTTCATTTGCCTCTTATTAAATCCATTTTCGAGAAATAACTAAGAAAAAATAGGGTTAGGGTCATACCTCTTGGGAATTATAAAGTCCATATTTAAGAAATAATCAAGAATAAATAGAATCAGGGTTAGGATTATACCTTCTGGAAGTTATCAAATACATATTTCAGGAAAAAAACGTCAATAAACAGTCTGTGCATGGCTTGATTGTCCTTGACAGGGACACAATAGCTAACATCTGTCATAGGGCTAAAAATAAACACCAGAAAGACAGTTACAGTGTCAGCAAGGTTAAACCTGCAGAGGATCTACAGAGAATCAACAGCATCATCCAATTAATCACTATAAATGCAACAGGCCAACCCTGACTACATTAATCCAGTCCAGAATCTAATCCAGCAATTACCGTCCGATTATCTCGGTACTGTACTTCCTAACGGTGATACACCAGGCCTTCTAATGGCTGCTTTGTTCAAATGGGCCCTGCCTGAATGCAGTAATAGAATTGACACCAGGTGTTAAAAAAACAGACACTTGAGCACTGAAGCAAATAGTAACCTATTATGTAACACATAATGATTTTAATTTAAACTTAAAAAGTCACATAAGACTGGTAATTATGGGAGAGCAGCGGGTGCTGGGCGCATCCTCTCTCACGTGGCATTAGCGGTACACAGCTGCAGCCCGGCCCGTGTGCCAGGAGACGGCTTGTGCCGCAAGGGGCAACCTTGAGAACGTCCGTCTCAGCAGGACCCGCAGACTTCCCCTCTCAACTCAGACCCCAGCTGCAGGAGATCAATGCAGCGGCTGCTTAGCAACACACGACAGGCTCCGGCCACGAGCTGCAGCTCTGCACCGACGTTTCGTGAGCCTTCTCCGAAGATCTCAATGCGCAGAAACAGCACATGGGTGGGGAGGGATCGGGGAGGGGTGGATATAAACTCGTACTCGTTTTCCTCACATTCTTAACTGAAATAGCTTAACAGGATTTACACGGAAGGTACAGATGTGTCACATACAAGCATATATATCGCATGCGACTACAGACATAGGTTACAGATATGTGCCCATGTCCAGAAGGTGGTGGGTTCAAATCCCACGACTGGCAGAGTAGTCATATCACTAGTGTTGGAACTGAGAGGGATCTTGGGGGTCCATAGACCCCGCATGAAAGAGAAAATATGAATCAGTATCTCTCCTCTGGTCGACAACTTATACTGTATATCACTGTTTGTTTTCTAGTGCTACTGATTCCCAGACACATCTAGCCAACATATCATAGGCAATGCAGTTGCTGGTTCAAATCCCATTTTTATTAGAATCCTCATATCTCTGTTGGGCTCTTGAGCAAGACGCTTAACCCAAACCACTGTAAAGGTGCCAGATAAATTACTAACCCTGCCTTTGGACCCCGAACTTCGCTCTTCCTATGTGTTTGAATGCCGTAGGTGAGTTAGATGGGATACGCTACGACTGAAATTTCACTGTTCCTGCTCCCAGAACAATGACAATAAAGGCATTCTGTCTAGTGGGTGCACTGGGTGCACTGGGTGACCCTCCACTCTGTCCCCAAGCTTTCTTCTCTTCTTATAAGCGACTGTGGACAAAACAACGGCTGCTAAATAAATAAATGTAAAGTCACGAGGCCTACAGCTCTGAAGCACTTCCCATAATGCCTGGCAGTCTGTGTCTGGGGGGGGGGGCATGTGGCTGCGGTTCCTTCTAATCCAGTGTTTCTCAAAGAATATGGACTGTCTGGCAGGGAGCTGGGAGGGAGCTAAAACATGGACTGTCTGGGGTCCCCCGAGGACCGGATTGGACACACTGCTCTAGATGTTTAAAAGAGGGGCAAAAAAAGAATTATTGTTTGAGTGTCATCAGATCAGGTGCCCAGGCTGTTGATCCCGGCTGGTTATACGGATAGCAAAACTGGAAGGCAGGTTCAAAATTTGCTGTCTATTAACATTGGGGAGCGACTGGTTACGCTGTGAATGAGGAATAGAGTAGGAATGCCTCTGCCTTGCAGCTGGTCTTTCTCAGCATAATCTCAAGGAGGTTCGGGAAAAATCAAGTACTGTGCCAGATACTTCGGAAAAAGCGCTTAAACAGAGTGGCAATATTTTCCCAGAGAAATAACGAGTTTTCAGACACTCCCAGTGCTGCTGAAATGACCGTCTTTTGGGTCCAAGTTCAGGAAGCAACCTTGGTTCTGCAATTCCACTTGTGACTAATTCTGACCCACTTAGCCTCAAGCTAAAAAAACTGCAGGAGATCGAAAAGCGAAAGCGAGAGAAAAAGTGCAGTATGGGCAAATCATCAGTGGCTTCCAGATATTCCATCCATCCATCCTTCAAAATTTATTCAGTACGGGGGGCTTGAAGCTTATCCACAGCAGTTGAGTCCATCACTGGGCATGCACAAACACACATGCACACTCAGTCACATACTGCAACCCATTCAGGGATGCCGACATTGCGTGCCAAGGTGCATTCCTTTGGACCGTGGGAGGAAACCGAAGTACCAGGAGTATCTGGAGGCCACACAAGGGCAACATGTAAACTACACACACACACACCCTCTTGGATAAAGAAGCCACACCCTTCTTTTTGTCCTGAAATGGATTTCCCCGCAAGCAAATGACAATTTTGGGGTGCGACACGAAAGAGTGCCAAGCCTCGCTCCATTTCACCCTGCTGCCACCGGTCTTGTCACACCTTCGTCCCTTGGGCATCTCCCTGGCTGCTGCCAGCGCATAGAAACGGAAAGATGGAAGCAGGCGGGCTTGCATGGTGAGCTGCATCCTCAGCCTTTTTAAACACACGGGCAGGATTCTGGGAGAATTACAGCCAGGTAGTTATACGGCTTTATTCCATGTCCTACGCTTTCCTCTATCAATCAGGCCAAGAGATATTTCTCATTCCTGAATGGTGGATGCTGATAGGCTCATCTTTTGTGTGTAAAATAAATTACCATAAACTATTCATTCTCGTCCATTTCTGTGGCAAATTCATCTGCACTAGTCCCTGTAAAAATCCCTCCTTTAAGCTCTTAAAAAAAAGTAGCCCTTTCCCTGTCCTTTGAACCTTTGTTTTCATGTCGATACACAGGCTGGCTGAACTAATTAAATTCAGTCTCCACTGAAATCCCCCGGATAGCCAAAAGGAGCCCCGGAAAATGCTGTTCGTTAAGGCTCACAGGTTAAAGTTCTGGCAAATAATTAATCGTGTTCTTTCCCTTTTTTTTCATGCCGTCAATAGATGTAGAGAAAGAGGGAAGAGGGAGAGGGAGAGGGGAGCTTGATGGAGGGAGGAGTGCTGTGAAAGGAGTGAATAAGGTGGGAGCGAGAGGTTACACAATGAAATGACAAGACATCTATTCAGCAAAGTAGCCGGTTCACAGTCCCTTGTGTCTGTTTTCTTGGTAATTCTCGACGTGAAAGACAATCAAATAAACTAGATGCTGCATTGTATTACTCTGCCCCTAAATTTAAATGAAAGACAATTGCAGGAGAGATCAAAACGCTCTTGCCTTCATTTTAAAGGCAGACTAATGCTTTTCTGTGGCACTCTCTCCAAAGGGTGGCCGATAACTGCCATCAAAGCACGGAACAAAGAAGAAGAATCAAGAAAGTAGTGGGAAAGCCACACAAAGTATAATCCCAATTAAGCAAAGGGAAGCAAAGACAATTGGCTGACTTTAAAGCAGACCTGACTTTGTCCAGTCCAGTGCTCATTACTGAATCGCCAAGAATGTTTACAGCAAAGTAAAAAAAGTAAAATGAGTCATTTTCGATTGATAAATCAAAGCTGCAGACATGTCCTTGATCGTAAACATCCGCAGCTATATCATACCCGAAGCCGATAAAACTTTGCAAACTGCAGTTTTACGGCTGCATCAAATTAAACTTTGACCGTTGTTATTTATGGGGCGTCCCATGTTTGTTCCTGGCTTTGAAGCGCAACATTTGTTCATGCAGATTAAGTCCACAAGTACGGGTTGGCCCATCGACGGGAGATGAAAGCGTGCTTCCCTCCGGGGGGCGCCGTGGAGCTCGCGGGGCCAGACGCCACTGGCTAGTTATACGAGGCCTCCCCGATAATGATGCTGAAACGTCAGACTGCGTACGGCTCATCGCGACTAAAAGGCAGAAGTGTTAATGACCTATAAATTTCATTAGTAGGATTTGCATAAATGCAGTTTTTCAATGATGACAGAAACTTGTAAAGTAGTTCATCTCACTCATTGTATTGTATGTGATGTATGGCTCTAAGCCCCTAATCAGGAGGTTGTTGGTTCAAATCCCATGGCTGACAACGTGATGTCACCACTGGGCCACTGAGTAAGGCCCCTCACTAGGATTCTCACTTGCATGTTCGTTTGGACTAAATACTCAGTGAATGTAACTCTAGCAACAGCCAATTCAATGCCATACTAAACTAATTTCGCAGTAATTATAATTTGCTACTCAGCAGTGTGAAAGCATGTGATTAAAGAATGGCACCAATATGTCACTCTAGTGAGACCTTTCTGCACATCACGTAATATCGAGCACTCAGAAAGTCTGTGGGACGATCTGCCTAGTAACCACCCAGACCCCCTCGCAGTCATCGCTGCTTCAGCGCCACCTAGCTGCCCGCTCCAGCTGCCTGTGGCTTCACACATACTGCCTGTCCTCCTACTCTTCTCCTCACATTCTTTTCGATAGAAGCATCTTTTAGGCTATTTTTTCTATTTAATATTTTTAGTTTTTTTTTCCCAGAATCCTTTTCTGCAAGCCAATTAAGCTTACGTTTTTATGTGTGCGGAGAGCACAGTCAGACTCTGCAGGTGAATTATACCTAAAATGTCCTTACACGTGTGCTAGTTATAATCTCACTCTTTA